CAGCTGGGCGACGTGTAGCCTCTCCCCCGGGCCTGGCCAGTACCAGCTTCAGTCTGGTCCACTGCAAGGCACCGTCTACAGGCGTACATATCATACCAATTTGCCCTGAGTCCGCCGGCTCGATGACCTCTTTCCTGCCTACTTTGGGCCTACGACGTCCCTCCCGTACTGGCCTGTGCTATGATGTAGTGGTTTTCTTGTGTTTGATCTTGACATGTCTCATATATGATATTATTTGTTTGCCATGTATGCGACTCTAGTGTTGCCATATTCCGTTCCCTACCGTGTCATATGTAGGATCCTCTATTGCTTCCTCCGTGGCCCTCTCCTTCACTCTCAAATCCGACGCGTCCCACTGCTTCTTTTGCAACCGCACACATTCTCGCGATCGCAGTCTCCTTGGCCGACCCGCCTCTGGACCAGTCGCCGCATGCAGAGCTATTGCACGTCCGTGCCCGACACTCCCCTGTGGCTCCCCAACAGGTCTGCATATCCCCTCGTTCGCCAAAAACTTGGTGGGTTTTGGACTTCTTCAAAACGTCGGTGAGTGTTCTGCTATTTGCACGGGCGATACCACCAAGGCACCTCTTGCCACGCTCCCTTGGGACCATGCGACAAGTCAGGTAACTGCGTCGCGCTCTTATCAGTCGCTCACTCACCCATCGCAACTGTGGCACCACCGTTAGGTCACCACGCCCTTCCGTGTCTCCATCATATGGGTCAGCACGGTCTTATCTATGGTATCCTATCATCGCTCGCATCTCTCCTACCCTCGTCTGCGCCACCATGCACCACTTGCATTGAGGGTGGGTAGCGCACCACCCCGCACTCCTCGTTTCCTCCAAACACTGCGCCACCTTGCAGGTAGCTCGAAGTGTCAGAATGTGTAGTTTGTCTAGCCTGTAGTGGGGTACTCTATAGTGAGTACGGCCCCTTAGGGTCTCCTATATGTATCCACCTGCTTGCTAGTGCAACTCCCCCTTTTGCCTATTCTCTCTTGCCTAGCTAGCTAAACCCTAGCTATGGCTCCTTCGTTCTAACTAGAATCTTAACATGGTAACAGAGCTGTTACGCTCTTGGCCTGTGGGCCCACCTGCTTCCGTTGCTTTCCTGTCTATCGCGCGCCCCGCGGCGCGCGACGCTGTTTTTTCTTCCCACCACGCGCTCGGGGCGCATGGCGGTTTTCTGCCCGCCGCGCGCCCTGTCTGCCGTGCGCCCCGAGGCGCGTGGCGGCCTCCTGCTTCCCGCGTCACCCCGGGAACCCGCGCGTCCCCCCCCCCCCCCCCCCCCCCCCCCCCCCCCCGTCGACGGTCGCGTCGCCCCCCTTGGAGCTCGTCACGTCGCCCCGCAACCCGCGCGCGGCCCTCGCTGCCCCGTCGCGACGCCCTGGGGAGCCGCTCGCGGCCCCCCGCTGCCCCGTCGTGGCGCCCTGAGGAGCCGCGCGCGGCCCCCGCAATCCCGTCACGGCGCCCTGGGGAGCCGCGCGCGGCCCCCGCTGCCCCGTCGCCGCCCTGAGAGCCGCGCGCGACCCCCCGCTGCCTCGTCGCGGCGCCTTGGGGAGCCGCGCGCGGCCCCCCGCTGCCCCGTCGTGGCGCCCTGGGGGCCACACGCCGTCCCCCGCGCTGCCCGTGTTAGGGTTTGGGGGTGGCGAGTGTGGGGGTGGCGGGTATGGGGGTGACGGGTGTGTGCGCCATCCCCTGCTCCTCCTCCTCCTCCGTCTCCCACTGCTGCAGCTGTCGCTGAGGGGGGTGGGTGTGTGGGAGCCGAAGGAGTGGTGCTAGGGGGGTGTCGTGGGAGTGATGCTAGGGGTGCAGCAGGGGGTGTGAACGGGAGTTTTGGGACAAAGGGGGAGGTTGAAAGTGGGTGGCCACCGTGAAGCCAGCAGCTCCAGACGCCCGTGAGACCGTTGCGCCAGTCGCCCGTGAGCCCGTCGCTCCAGTCGCCCGTGAGCCCGTCGCTCCAGTCGCTGTCAGAATCCCAACCACTAGACCATTGGGATAAAAGGGCTTGTTTCAGTAGCGGGTCAGTGCGCCCATAACCCCCCAGGCAAACGCGCCTGTAACCCCCCCTAGGATCGATCGGGGATCTCACAGTGTAGCTCTACTGACAGTCGCCCGTGAGCCTGTTGCTCTAGTCGCCCGAGAGTCAGTTGCTCCTGCCGCTCGTCTAGCCGCGGAGCCAGTTACTCCATGCCCGTGTGCCAGTTGCTCCAGTTGCCAGTGTGCCAGTTGCTCCAGTTGCCCGTGTGCCAGTTGCTCCAGTTGCGCTGTGTGCCAGCATCTTCAGCTGCCGCCCACTACCTCCTCTCCTTTCATAGTCCCTCCTCCTCCTCACTAGCCCTCTGTGATAGCCTCTATCTTTGCTTATATTTGAGAACTATAAACTGCTGCTTGTTGTGCTGATCATACCCCACTTTGACTATGGGGGTGTGTCAGAATGTGTAGTTTGTCTAGCCTGCAGTGGGGTGCTCTATAACGAGTACGGCCCCTCAGGGTTTCCTATATGTATCCACCTGCTTGCTAGTGCAACTCCCCGTTTTGCCTATTCTCTCTTGCCTAGCTAGCTTAACCCTAGCTATGGCTCCTGCGTTCTAACTACTATCTTAACACGAAGTTCAATTTCTCCTATGGTGCTGCCATCACTAGTGGTATATAACCCTTGTTACTCTTGTTCACCATTTTCTTGAATTGTGCGAGTGTTGCCTCTAGGATATCGCCTGTATCCATCCATCTTCGCAGATCAACACGTTTTCCGTTGTTGTAAATAGGGTTTTGTGTTGATACCATTGATCTCGGGGTTGAACCGTTGCAAGAAAAGTCTCCCCAAGATGAAATCTAGGCCCTTGATGTTCGTGACAGGAAGTGTGAGCCTCCACCTTGTAGAGTTGACTTGCCATGGATGGGTAGCTTGCTACCATCCACCATCGTTGCTGTGAACTGGGTCTCCTAAAAAAATCTCACATTATCTCCAATGCCCCGCAGTCGCACACCGAGTGGGACGCACCACTATCCACCATCGCCTAGAGGCGTCGGCCTTTGCAGAGCACCTTGAGGAGTAATAGCTGCTGCTTATCGCAAGTATTGTTTCGTCAATACGATCATAGGGTACATAATGGAACACATTATCCCCAGGTCCAACACTTGAAGCTGTAGATGCTAAGTCAAACTTCACCTGAGGGTGGATTGAAGGGTTTTTTCGAGGACTTCTCAACTGCTCTTTAGCTTAGAACCTTGCCCTAAGCCTTTGAATTTGTCTAGTCTTCGACTGTGGGGAATGGAGAGCTTTTATCACTACGATGCTGGGAGAGAATATTAACTCCTCGAAACACTCGACCCTTCTTAACGCCCTGGAGTTGGTTTCCCAACTTTTCAGGTACTGGTACTAATTCTAAAGGCTCTCTATTAGCCTCCATGAGAACTAATGATCTTAGTTAAAGTTGTCAAAATTATATGTTGTGTAGGCTGTAGTGGGGTAGCCCATATGGGGCACCATCACCCTGACTCAGTTGCACATGGTGCACCAGGTCCTTCAGCGCTTCGGCTTCCGGTACTCCTCGCCACAGTCCACTCCTCTGCCTACTAGTCACTCGCTCTCAGCTCCACCTTCGGACGAGCCCGTAGAGCCGAGTGGCCCGTATCCAGAGCTTGTGGATTGCCTCATGTACCTGATGACCTGCATTCGACCTAGCCTAGCCTACCCTCATAGCATCCTGGCACGCTACGTTGTGCCCGAGAGACATCAACCAGAGCACTGGAAGGTCGTTAAGAGGGTGTTGCACTACTTGTGTAGTACGTCGGGCATGGGGCTCGTGCTTGGAAGACGGGGTTGAGTGTCCTCACTGGACACACAGACGCTTCTTGGGTTGATGACTTGGCTACGCAGCGGTCGTCACAGGGTTACACTTTCAGCCTTGGCTCCGGCTCTATTTCTTGGCGGTCTACCCGCTCGTCTTCTATTCTTAGTTCCAGTTGTGAGGCTGAGATCTACGCAGGGGCCATGGCTTCACAGAAGTTATGTTGGCTCACCTACCTGCTGATCGACTTGGGAGAGCGGCCTCGTTCTCCTCCAGTTCTGTACGTCGACAGCAAGGCCATGATTGCCTTGTGTCAGGAGCACAGACTGGAGCACAAAACGAAGCACATCGCTCTACGTTACTTCTTTGCTCGAGAGTTGTAGCAGCGTAGTCAGCTTCGTCTTGCTTACGTGGCCTCTCAGGCCAACATTGATGATATCTTCACCAAGGCACTTCAGCCTTGTGATCATCAGCGCTTCTATACTGTTTTAGGCCTTCTACCTACTTGGCCTCATTTGCTCACTTCTTGACTGTGCTTGTACTGTGATCTATATACGTATACCTGCATGCTTGCTAGGTATTGATCAATGTACTATTTGTTCTCTATTATTCAACTCTGTATGTGGACTGGCCTTGTGGCCATTTGCTTGTGCTCGGAGTGTGTGGTGACTTCGTGATCCACCCTGAGCTTGCTTTGCTTTTCTTGACTGATCTTTCGACCTCTTGTTCTCCCCCGCTTTGCCTATGGGGGTGTGTCAAACTTATATGTTGTGTAGACTGTAGTTGGGAAGCCCATATGGGGTACAACCCAATTAGGGTTTGCTACTTGTACTCCGGCATGCTGTTAGTTAATAAGTCTTTTGCTTAGTCTTCTGACAAAAGTTGACGAGAAACGAGAATGAATGCATTGAGCAGAAAGGGGAGTACAAGTAGCAAACCCTCAAGTGTTGTACCCCATATGAACTGCCCCACTACAGCCTACACAGACTATAGCATATATGCCTGACACACCACCATAGGCAGAGTGGGGGAGAACAAGGGGTCACAAGACCAGTCAAGCAAAGCAAAGCAAGCTCAGGGTGGATCACAACGTCACCACACAGTCCGAGCACAAGAGCAAGGCCACAAGGCCAGTTCACATGCAAGATCATATATATAAAGGTAAATATGCAAGTGCAGGTATAGAAAGAGGACAGTACAAGCAAGGTCAAGAAGTGAGCAAGTGAGGCAAAGTAGGCACAAGACCTAGCACAGTACAGAAGCGCTGATCATCACAAGGCGGAAGGGCCTTGGTGAAGATATCAGCAGTGTTGGCCTCAGAGGCCACATAGGTGAGGCAGAGCTGACCACGCTGCTGCAGCTCACGAGCCAGGAAGTAGCGGAGAGCAATGTGCTTCGTTCTGTGCTCCACTCTGTGCTCCCGACACAAGGCCAGCATGGCCTTGTTGTCTACGTACAGATTTGGAGGAGAACGAGGCGGCTCTCCTAGGTCAATCAGCAGGTAGGTGAGCCAGCATAGCTCCTGTGAAGCCATGGCCCTTGCGTAGATCTCAGCCTCACAGCTGGAGCTGAGAACAGAAGACGAGCGGGTAGACCGCCACGAAACAGAGCCGGAGCCAAGGCTGAAGGTGTAACCCTGTGACGACCGTTGCAGAGCCTGGTCGTCAGCCCAAGAAGCGTCTGCGTGACCTCTGAGGACCACTTGACGCCGCCCTCCAAGCACTAGCCCCATGCCCGACGTACTGCACACGTAGCGCAACACCCTCTTCGCTGCAGCCATGTGCTCTGGTCGGTGTCTCCCTGGAGCAACATAGCGTGCCAAGATGCTAAGAGGGTATGCAAGGTCAGGTCGTGTGCAGGTCATCAGGTACATGAGGCAGCCAACAAGCTCTAGGTACAGGCCACTCGGCTCTACGGACTCATCCGAAGGCAGAGCTGAGAGCGAGTGGCGTGTAGACAGAGGAGTGGCCTGAGGCGAGGAGTACATGAAGCCGAAGCGCCGAAGGACCTGCTGCACCATGTGTGACTGAGTCAGGGTAATGGTGCGCTGTGCTCTGTCCCGGGTGATCTGCAAGCCAAGGTAGCTGCGCAGTTCACCCAGGTCTGTGCACGTGTGTCTCTTCTGCGGCTCGGACTTCACGTGGGCGAGTCCAGCAGTGTCAGCAGTGGCAAAGACCAAGTCGTCGACGTACACGAGGATGTAGAACGGCGGCAAAGAGGTGTCGGTGCGCAGAAACAGCGACGGGTCGGCTATAGAAGGAGCAAACCCAAGAGCCGCAAGTGTAGTCCTCAGTGTGTCGTGCCACTCACGGGGCGCCTGGCAGAGACCGTAGACTTGCCGCTGGAGGCTCCACTGGGTACCAGGAGGAAACGACCCAGTGAAGCCAGGTGGGCGGCGCAGCCAGATCTCCTCGTGCAGGCTGCCCTGCAGGAAAGCTGTGCTGAAGTCAAGAGAGTGAAGCTCATAGTCGCGCTGAGCGGCTATGTGCAGCAGCACCCAAAGAGTGGTCATCTTTGGGGTGGGAAAGAAGGTCTGAAAGTAGTCAACTCCCTGCCGCTGACTGAAGCCTCGAGCCACGTAACGCGCCTTGAAGACAGGCGGAGAACCCGACGGCCGCTTCACCCTGAAGATCCACATGCCACTGACAATGTTCGCCCCAGGTGGGGGAACCTCGTCAACGTAGGTGCCTATGGACTTCCAGGAAGCCATCTCTGCGTCCATGGCCGACTGCCACTGAGAGGAGTAGGGACCCTCGATCACCTCAGCGTACGATCGAGGAGTCGGGATGTCTGGTGCATCCGGGTCTCCCTCAGGGGCAATCATCGTGGACACGAGATGGGGCAAAGCAGCCCCAAAGCACTGGAACTGTTCCTGCCTGTCCTCAAGGACGTCCGTGCTAAGAGCACACTCACCCCCGACGGACGGAGGACAGACAGACTCAGACTCACCAACGAGACTAGCAGCGTAGTCTAGACGACAGCGAGCAGCGAAGTTGACAAGCTTAGCAACAAGGGCAGACGCAGCAGTGGACTCAAAGGAAGGGTCAGTGACAACAGTATCCAGAAGACACGTCACAGAAGTACTAGCAGCACGAAGAGAGTCAGACTCCGGGTCAGTAAGACTAGGAAGAGAGGACTCTGGAGGAGACGGTAACGGGACACGCAGAGGAGCAGTGGAAGGACGCAGCGCCATCTGGTGTGTGCCGGGGACCGCAGGAGGACGCGGACGCGCAGTACGACGACTAGTGCGAGCAGCAGGAACAGACGACGCAGGACAAGACGCAGGCTCACGACGCTCAGCAAAACCTCCAGTAGGACCAGTGTAGGGAGAAGGAGCAGGTAGAGGGGAGGCGGGCTGTAACTGTGACTGGGACTGGACAGGCTGTGGACACTCTAAGGGAGGAGCAGGACCAGTAGAGGGCGGGAGACCAAGAACCTGCTTCAGGAGCGGAACGAAGTACGGCCTCGGCCGCGCAGCACCTTCAGAACCAGCAAGGACAGCACCAGTACCCTCAGCAACAGCACCAGCACCAGCAGCACCTCCAGCTCCAACAGCGCCAGCTCCAGCACCCTCAGAAGCACTAGCGCCAGCAGTACCGCCAGCGCCAACACCCCCAGCAGCTCCAGCTCCAGCAGCTCCACCTCCAGCAGCCTCAGAAGCACCCCCAGACGCACCAGCGCAAGTAAACACACAAGCGCCAACACCCCCAGCAGCTCCAGCTCCTGCAGCACCAGCACCGCCAGCAACTCCAGCAGGACCAACTCCAGTGGCCCCAGCAGCTCTAGGACCGCCACTACGAGCACCTCCGGGACCAGCAGCAACAGGAGCACTTCCAGCTCCAGCAGCACGTCCCCAGCGGCGGGCAAACCACTCGCGCAGCTCCTATGGAGAGAGCGGCTCCCGCCTCGACGAAGCACCGCCAGCGGCCACACGAGCAGACCCAATGCCCCAAGGCTCTGCACCCCCAGGGTCCGCACCCCCAGACCCAGCACCCCCAGGCTCAGCACCCCCAGACTCAGCACCCCCAGACTCAGCACCCCCAGTGGTAGCACCCCCAGACCCGGCACCCGCAGGCTCAGCACCTTTAGCAGCACCAGAGTCAACAGCTACCTCGATAGGCTCGACTGCGTCTACCTGGGACACACCTGACGGGGCAGGACCCTGAGGGGGGAGGGGGTCTACCCGGGGAGGACCTGGCGCAAGGAAGAGCGGCGGTGGGGGGAGGGGCGCAGTGCGGTAGGGGAAGAGACGGTACTAAGGCACCGACTCGTCAAAGGTGACGTCCTGGGAGGACAGAACACGGCGCGAGGTGGGGTGGTAAAACTGCCACCCAGGCGCGTCAGGGGGGAAGCCAAGGAAGACGCAGGGAACAGCACGGGGGGACAGCTTGTCCGCAGACAAGTCGCGGACAAACGCCCGAGATCCCCAGACCCGAAACGCAGACACATCGCCAACCTTCCCGGTCCACCGCAAGGCGGGGGAGGTCTCTCGCAAGGAGATCCGGGGCTGAAGGTTGAGCTGATGCGCGGTGTGCTGAACCGCAAACGGCCACAGAAAATGGGGGGCAGCCGCATGCATCATGGACGTACGAGCGACGTCCATGACCATGCCAATGCGGCGCTCAACAATCCCATTTTGCTGTGGAGAGGCCGGAAGCGTGAAGGTCTGGCGGATGCCCTGCGCACGACAGAAAGCTCCCAGACGGGTAGAGGAAAGCTCCCCGCCTCTGTCCGTGTGCAGACGCAGAACAGGAAAGTCCGAGCCGAAACTCTCCGTGAGGTGGAGATGAGCTTCGTGGATCCAATCGATCAACACCTCAGTGACATCACCCTTGCTACGCAAGGGGAAGACTGTGGTGTAACGCGAGTAGTCGTCAACCACCAGCAGGAAGTACCGCTCGCGCCCCTGCCCACTGACGCGGGCGGGGCCCCACACGTCCATGTGGAGAGTCTACATCGGAGCCTCTGTCGGAGGAAACTCGGAGGAGTGAGGGGCAGCGCGCTGTCGCCCCTCGACGCAGGGGACGCAGGTAGGGCCAGGCCCCAGAGGTAGGGGAGGGAGAGACCGAGGGAGACCAGAGAAAAGGACACAGGAGTCCATGCCTCGGAGACGAGGCAGGGAGGGGTGACCAAGGCGGTGGTGCCAAAGGAGAGTCTGGTGGGACAGTAGACGACACGAGCAGGGAGCAGACTCAGGACTAGACCTGGACGCTGCAGCAAACACCTGACTCGACGCAGCTACCTGGCCAGACTCAGCAGCCGGAGGAGACTCAGTAGTAAGGGTGTACATGCTCGACCCTGGCCGACGGGTGAACGTGGCTAAGTGGCAGGTTGTCCGAGCACATGTGCAGTGGGTCACCCGCTGACTCGCAGGAGTGAACTGGTCAACCCCCCTATCCTGTAGGTCCGCTCCACTCACCAAGCTCGTAGAGAACGAGGGGAGGTAGAGACCTTACAGGGTGCCAGAGGGGGCTGCCGGGCACGGTAAGACAGTGGAGAAGCTAGCAAGGACAGGACCCCCAGAGGGGTCCGCCAGGGAGACTGCAACCGGCCGACTGAGCGGCGTAAGAGTGGTGCAGTCTCGAAAGAAGGAGCGGGACGCACCCGAGTCAAGGGTGAAGGTGTGTAAGGCCTGAGCCGACGTAGTACCTGAGAGTGCAGACTCACCAGCACCTGGGGCAGCAGACGCACTGGCACCTGGGGCAGCACACGCACGAGCACCTAGAGCAGCAGCCTCAATGCCCGCAACACTATCATCAACAGGTAACACACAGGTAACAGTCACCCGCAACACTATCATCAACAGCATACATGGCAGCAAGAATAGCATCAAAATCAAGATCAAAGATAGCAACCCCCGCCCTAGACAGCTCTCCCCAGCGAGGGATCTCAGAGGCCCCAAGGAACTGGTGACGCCACGCGTCCGTCAGGCGGCCAAAGCAGCGCTGGGTGGAGTGCGAGCCCCCGCACTGCTCACCAGCGCGGTCGCCGGTGCGGAGAACGTAGGTGCAGGGACCCGTAACCCCACCGCGCTGACGCGCAGCGTACCACTCACAAAGCTGCTGAGGGGACAGGGTCTCACGACTGCTCTACTGCTGCTGGCGCGTACCACCACCGAAGCCACTCCTCTGCGCTGAGCCTTGACCAGGTCCACTGCTGCCGCCGCCGCCTCCGCCGCCTCCTCCACCTCCGCCTCCTCCGCCACCTCCGCCGCCTCCGCTCCCTCCGCCACCACCGCCGCCTCCTCCGCCTCCACTGCTGCCGCTGCCGCCGCCACCCCCGCCACCACTCCCACCACGACCCCCACCCCCTCCACTGCCTCCACCACCACCTCCACCGCCCCCGCCAGCCCCTCCAGTGCCCTTGGCCCCCTTGCCCTTGCCGGTGCGGCGTCTCCCGCTACGGGCAGACGCAGCGCCGACCCCGTAGAAACCAACGAGGTCGGCCGCAGCAGCAGAAGCAACAGAGGGCAAGAGGGGGGAGGGGGAACACCCCTCAAAGACGGGGATGCAAGGGTCACCACGAGAGGCTCCTACAGTGACTATGCTCTTCTCTGCTGCTAGGAGGCCCTTCTCGAGGAGGTCAACGGTGAGAGTGGTGGGGCAAACTGAGAGGAAGTGGTCCCTGACTACGCGAAGAGAGTCAGGGAGCCGGGTGACTATGTAGTAGAGGGTGATGTACATGGGGGGGGGGGGGGGTGGGGGTTCTTGGCGCAGAACTCAGCAGGAAGCGCAGCGCGGTAGCGAGAGTCACTAGTGCGGAGGTGCGTAATGAGGTCAGCGACTGTGGGAAAGGCAGCAAGGTCAGGGAAGAGGTACGGTAGCATGAGGCGGCTCAGTGCAGTAGTGGCAGGGGAAGAGTAGCGTGCAACTACAGCGTCGTACAAGGTCTGAGCACTCTTGTACTGGCTAAAGTGTGCACGCTCAGTGGTTGGTAAGTGGCGACGCACAGCAAGGCGAGAAGCAGCATCGCGTGTGGCCCACTGTGAGCGAACAGTGCTGTCAGCAGTGGCAGTCGGGGCAGGAGAGACACCAGAGGTGAGATCGAACAGAGAGAGTCCATCTGCCCTATCGCACTGGAGAAACAACTGGAGGTCATCGACCCAGACCTCAAAGTCAACGGCACGGCCCTCAGCATCAAAAGTAAGGACACTGGGGGTAGCCATGACTGCAGTGGCCTAGCAGGAAGTGAGCTCACCAGTCCAAGGAAGGAGGGCCGGGGAGCACCGGTAGGAACAGCAGCGGCTCGACATTAGGGCGGCTCGGCGGCTCGGCGGCAGGGCGGCTCGGCTGCTGGGCGGCTCGGCTGCTGGGCAGCTCGGCGGCAGGGCGGCTCGGCTGCTGGGCGGCTCGGCGGTAGGGCGGCTCGGCTGCTGGGCGGCTCGGCGGCAGGGCGGCTCGGCTACTGGGCTGCTCGGCGGCTCGGTCGCTGGGCGGCTGAGCGGTGACAGGGCCGCTAGGGGAGGGCGACGGGGCCGCAGGTGACGGCGACGGGGCCGTTGGTGGCGGCAAGGCCGCAAGTGGCAGCTGTGTGGCCGCAGGTGGCGGCTGCGTGGCCGCAGGTGGCGGCGACGGGGCCTCAGGTGGTGGCGACGGGGTTGCTGGTGGCGGCGACGGGGCCGCACGTGGCGGCGACGGGGCCGCAAGGGGCCTAGACGAGGCCGCGGAGGGGCCGTAAGGGGCCTAGACGGGGCCGTAGCGGGGCCGCAAGGGGCCTAGACGGGGCCGCGGAGGGGCCGTAAGGGGCCTAGACGGGGCCGTAGCGGGGCCGCAAGGGGCCTAGACGGGGCCGCGGAGGGGCCGTAAGGGGCCTAGACGGGGCCGTAGCGGGTCCGCAAGGGGCCTAGACGGGGCCGCGGAGGGGCCGTAAGGGGCCTAGACGGGGCCGTAGCGGGGTCGCAAGGGGCCTAGACGGGGCCGGAAAGGGTGTCGCGAGGGGCCGAAAGGGGCCGCGCGAGGGCCGTAAGGGCGACGCGAGGGGCCTTAAGGGGCCGTAAGGGCGGCGCGAGGGGCCGTAAGGGCGGCCAAAGGGGCCGTGAGAGGGGCCAGTAAGGGCGGCTCGAAGGTAGGGAGGGCACACAAAGCGCGACTCGGGCAGGAGTGAAGCGCGCTCCGGGCAGGAAAAAAAAAGTATCGTGGTGGGCCCTATGTAGTGTTCCCACTAGGGAACGTGCTCGATACCATGACGAGAAACGAGAATGAATGCATTGAGCAGAAAGGGGAGTACAAGTAGCAAACCCTAAAGTGTTGTACCCCATATGAACTGCCCCACTACAGCCTACACAGACTATAGCATATATGCCTGACAAAAGTATCATTGTAGGATAACTTAAACGAATTCTTACTCGTCAGGGTGTACTGCTGGAGTTTCCTGGTCGGTGCACGGTCTTGTTTCACGGATTCTCCTTTTGTCTTGGCATTTTCCCATCCAGTCATTCGTGACAAATCAATTTTGCACCATCATTTTCTCTTTTTTTTCGACCTCTTCAAAGTCGCCACATTGTCACGCTTTTGTTTTTTCCAGATCTTTTTCTTATTGCATTGTTCCTATGCTACTGGCAATGTTCCTTTGCCCCATTCTTAAATGTTTTTTTCGAGGGTGCTGCATTATTTCAGCCTTGCAACTTCGCACGTGCTTTCTGTCAAAATATGGTTACATATTTTATATAATTGTTTGCAGTTGTAGTGTACATATTGCATCATGTTTGGTGGTGCACCTCCTTATGTTGCTGTTTACCTATTTGTACTTGCCATTCTCATTAGTGAAACCCCATTCCTCTCAACTTTCCTAAACTCACTTGAACTCAATTTCTCGTACCTCACTAGCCATGGCTCCCAAGCATTCTCGTTCCACTTTTCTCACTTTCTTCATTTTCCAGCACGCCAAGATTCATGCCCTATAGCGCCTGCAAAATTTGAACGTTTCACTTTGTGCTGGTGGCTTGCTTTGCATTGACCTTGTCAATGTTTGCGGTCGTGGGGGGTGCGGATCGATCCGCGCTGAAGTTTCTTTTCGTCTGGTTGCGTCAGTGGACATTTTCAAATCTTTCAATCAGGGCTGCCCGAAACTGCGGTCACGTCCCTTTGCCTCGGACTATGTCATATCCGCAAATTCATTCCAATGTTGGGCCTCGTAACAGTGTAATTTCAAGCCGTATTTGCATCGCTTCAGAGGGTGGGGTCGTAGATCCTATATCTTAGAAATAAAATCTCGGGTACAGCTACAATTTGAGGGACATCGCTTCCTTTTGCGCTAGGATCGAAGGCCTCATTTGTGTTAAGAAATTCACTGGTTTCTATATACCCAAATCGGCGTGACTGTCGTCGCTCCTAAGGTTTCTATTTTTTCGGGTAAGTTTTAACGGGCGAAAAACTTCGAGTGAGAACAAGCTCTAATTACCATATGTGAGGACCAAGCATTGAGTTCATAAAGTAAAATATCAATCCTGCATAGAACTACCTAACTATATATAGGCACGACACAAGGCAGGTAATCCATGTGTTACTAGAAGGTACCGAGGTTTGGGAACCGTCCAATAGAAGCGATTCGGCGTAAACCACGCACACGCAAAGTCATGCGGGAATACCGAAATGGGTCCTTAGAGGGACTTATGAGCAGGCACACCATGGAATTCTCTTCCTTGACCGCGTGTGGCTGCTTGATGTAGATGATTGTGTCGATGATTGCGTAAAGGAATGCATTGGAGACGTCAACATGGCAGAGACCAAGCTGTTTGACGTCGGAAATGCAGAGGAGGATGCGGATGGAGGTATGGTGTTCGGCGGGAGCAAAGGTTGGATACCTTTGCACGACACATCGTGATCCTCCACCTCCGGAGTTATAGCTTCCCTCCATTTTTCCCTATCTAGTCCTTGCAGGGCTTAGCGAACTGTCGTGGGCTCGGTGGGATGGTGGGTTCCGCAAACAGTTATGGCTATGAAACCTGGTCATGTTGAGGAAGTGGCGGAGCTCCCTCCATTCTACCCTGTCTGGTCCTTGCAGGGCTTGGCGAGCTGTCGTGGGCTTGGTGGGATAGTTGGATCCAGAAACAACTATGGCAAGCCCAAAGGATACGTAACCTGGTCATGTTGAGGAAGTGGCGGGGTGCGCTTTGTTGCCACCGTGTACTTCCACGACGTCGTCATCATTGTGGTCATCAAGGTTTTTGCGAAAAATGTTGCGTGAGGTGTCTCAGTCCAGGTCTTCTTCCATTGGTGAGTGGTTTTCTACACTTGCGTGATTACGCTGTCCTTGTAGCATGTCATTGGGGGCGTATTCAAACATGAAGATAATGGCTGGTTGCTTGTAACGAGAATGATATGCGGTTCATCCTCGGCCTTTTCCTCATAGACGTCTTCCGCCACGACGGCTTCATCGTGTGATGTTGCGAAGTTGTGCTCCTCTTAGAAGTTGTTGTCCTGAGTGGCTTGTGCCGTATAGGTGCTGGCGAAATAGTTACAGTGTCGGCTTCTTGTAGAAGATGTGCGGAGATAACTACAGCAACGGGAGCTAGGCTACGGGCTAGGCACGTGTGCTCGTGTGATCTCTGCGTTCTCTGTTCCTTAGTCGTTTTCCTTGTGCACACACTACTTGCTAGTTCACGGGGAAAGTTGGCAAGAGTTTCACTAGGAAAAGTTCAGAACAATTGGTACAATGAAGTTGGCATAGCATGACTACGTCAGAGCAAGCATTCAGGTCGGCCAACTGCCAGCGCAGCTTGGTCGACCGCGTTCCAGCACGACTTGGTCGACCGCACTCCAGCAAGGCAAGGTCGACGGCGTGCCAACGTCGCAGGTTGACGGCGTGCCAGCGTTGCTCACGCAGGACAGCAGTGCACCCGCCTCGCAGGTGTGCGTAGCTGATTGGCGTGCAGAGTCCCGTCACCTGCACAGCGCACACTCCACGTCAACCTCGAGCTGACGACTGCCTCTGGTCCGCCACGACGACCTCGGGATACCACCACCGTGGTCGTGCTCGCCACCTTTGCCTGGGCGACCGTCGCACTTCTCCGCAGCACTTCGTCACCCAGGTAACCTGGTCGACCGGGCAACCACGTCGACCAGCAGCTCTTGCACGTGCCCGTCGACCTCCCAAGTCGACGACCACCCCAAGTCGACCTCCTCAGGTCGACCACTACTCCCTGGTCGACCAGCTCCAAGTCGACGTCACTCCTGGTCGACCAAAAGGGCTGGTCGACTTCCCAGGTCGACCAGGATGGTCTGGTCGACGTCCCAGGTCGACCAGAAGGTCTGGTCGGCGTCCCGGGTCGACCAGACGAAGTTGGCGCCCTCCTGAAGTCGGCGCCCATGCAGTGGCTCCCCGTGCAGGTCGACTAACCTCGTCGACCAACTCGCCCACTGCTGCAGGTCGGCTGCACCCTACACCCGACCACGAAGTCGGCTCCGCCCAGGCGTGGACGGGGCCAACATACAACTCCCGTTGACACTCCCCTGCCGCGTTCACGCTTGGGCACCCAGCCCACACGGCAGTACAGTTCGGAGACTAGCTCGTCGACGTGCACCCAACACATAGCACGTCGTCCACCGCACCAGCCATGCAAAAGGGCATGGCACCTACTACTGCACGTCGTTGTCGTCGTCGCCCACGTCGGCCAAGCGCACTTGGCCGATTGCGACGGAGCACCGGTTGAAGGCCGGATAGTGCAGCGCCTTCGTCAGGAAGTCGGCCGGCTGCTCAGCGGTTGGGATGTACTGCAGCGAGAACTTCCCGCGCCTCACCATGTGCTGCAGCCAGGCCTGTCGCCGCTCCATGTGCTTGAGGTTGCCCATCAACCCCATGCCCTCGGCAACCGTGATGGCCGACTTGTTGTCCACACGCAGGACAGTCGGCTTCCCGGCGTCGAGTTGCCGGAACTCGGCGAGGAGGAAGCGAAGGCGGCGTCCCTCCTTGCCAGCTTCAGTGGCCGCCACGTACTCCGACTCGGTCGACGACAGCGTCGCGCACTTGATGCGCTGGCTCGACCAGGAGACTGCAGCCCCTCCGTAGACGAACACGTAGCCGCTCGTGCTCATCCTGTTCTGCTTGTCACCGGCGTCGTCGGCGTCCACGTAGCCGACCAGCTCCAGCGACTGAGGTCCACCGCCGAACTCCAGGGCGGTGTCGCGTGTGTTGGCGAGGTAGGCGAGGCAGCGATCGACCTCGTGC